ATTTTGGCTTGAAGTCTACTTTATTTGATATGAGGATGGAAACCCCTGCTTGCTTTTACAGTCCCTGGGAGTGGTATGTTTTTTCCCAACCTTTCACCTTCAGTCTGTGGATGTCTTTTCCTATGAGATGATTCTCTTGGAGACAGCATATTGTTGGGTCTTTTTTTTTTAATCCAATTTGCCAGTCTATGTCTTTTGATTGGTGAGTTTAGGCCATTTACATTTAGGGTTATTATTGAGACATGATTTGTATTCCCAGCCATTTTTGTTTATTTTTGGTATTTAACTTGATTTGGTTTCTTCTTTGATTGGTTTTTCCTTTAAGGTAATACCTCCTTCACTGATTTTCATCAACAATTTTTTTCTTTTTCTCCTTGTGAATATTTTGCCAAGGATGTTCTGTAGTACAGGCTTTCTAGTTGTAAATTCTTTTAACTTTTGTTTATCATGGAAGGTTTTTATTTCATCATCAAATCTGAAGCTTAATTCTGCTGGATATAAGATTCTTGGTTGGCATCCATTTTCTTTCAGAGCTTGGTATATGTTGTTCCAGGATCCTCTAGCTTTCAGGGTCTGGGTTGAAAAAATCTGCAGATATCCTAATTGGTTTCCCCCTATATGTAATCTGATTCCTTTCTCTTAGGACTTTTAAAATTCTATCCTTTTTCTGTATGTTAGGCATATTCATTATAATGTGCTTTGGTGTGGATCTGTTGTGATTATGAATATTTAATGTCTTATAAGCCTCTTGTATTTGATTTTTAAATTCATTCTTCATGTTTGGAAAATTTTCTGATATTATTTCAGTGAATAAATTGTTCATTCCTTTGGTTTGTAACTCTATGCCTTCCTCTATACCAATAATTCGTAAATTTGGTCTTTATGTTATCTCATAATTCTTGAATGTTCTGCTCATGGTTTCTTACCATCTTCACTGTGTGGTCAACATTCTTTTCAAGATTATATATTTTGTCTTCATTGTCCAAGGTCCTTTCTTCCAAGCAATCTAATCTGTTGGTGGTGTTTTCTATTGAGTTTTTAATTTGGTTTATTATTTCTTTCATCCAAGGATTTCTGTTTGTTTGTTTGTTTTTTCAGAACGTCTATCTCCTTACTGAAGTAATCTTTTGCTTCCTGTATTTGCTTATGTAGCTCTTTATTGAATGATCTTTTGCTGCCTGTATTTGCTCTCTTACACCATCTTTAATTCACCGAACATTTTAATTATGTACATCCTGAACTCCTTCTCTGTAATTTCTTCTATTATGTTGGCCATGGTTTCTAATAATGTAGTATCTTGGTTTGTTTCGGGCACTTTCTTCCCTTGTTTTTTCATGTTGTTAGTGTGTCTTCCCTTCTAGCACTGCAGATCCAAAGTGTTACAGTTTTTACCCTAGAGGCTATAGGGTCCCTGAAGGGTTCCAATACCTCTCCTTTAAGGGGTAGAACAATATTAACAGATCCCAATAGAAACAATATACAGCCTTAAACCAAATAGCTGCTATTAAGAAGACATTTACAGTTTTGTCACAATATACAGAAATGGTGAATTCAGTTATTATCTACAATATAAATAGTAGGTTTGCAAAGGGATCTACAATTTCTTATGGTGAACAAAGAACAGGGAGTAAGGTGTAAGATGGGATGTTGAGGGGATAGGAAGTGAAGATATAGAGTTATTAGATCTTAGGAAGTATGAAAGAATCTAAAGTTGGTTAGTAGCAGGAGAAGAGAAAGAAAGTGATTTCAGAGAGACAAGTAAGTGGGAAGACAATAGAAAGAGTAAAACAAACAAACAGGGGCTGGGGTTGTGGCTCAAATGTAGAGCACTTGCCTAGCATGTGTGAGGCACTGGGTTCAATCCTCAACCACATAAAAATAAAATAAAGATATTGTGTCTTCCTATAACTAAAAAAATGTTTAAAAAATGATCAAAAACTAAACATAAATATTAAGAAATATAAAAATAGGAGGTAAATGAATATATAAAACAACTGTGATATACTGTTCAGACATCCCAGTCCTCAATAGCCTAATTCATGAAAAATACTTGGTTTCACAAATGTTGGGTATGTGAAGGCAGGAGAAGAGAGGGAGAGAAAAGACAAAAAAAAAAAATCTTAAAGGAAGATACAAGGATTGTTTTTATTGGAGATCAGTATCTTTCCTGCTTCCCTTCTCATCCAATAGGTGGGGTTGTCTGTTGTTTGCTGGTATCTCCACCCTCAGGATGATGAAGGTTATTAAGGTGCGAGGGTTCTGGTCTTGGAGGCAGGGCTCCTGGAGGTGGGGTATAGCACTTGCTGGTCCCCAGTGAGAGACTGCACCCCAAGGATCTCCTTTGGGGCCTGCTTGGGTGATGTGGGTGCCTGGTCTTGCTGGTCTCTACGCTGTATCATCCCCTTTTTCCCTACTTCTCAGTCAGAAACCCCTCTCTCCAGAGGTCTTGTGGGCTGTACTTTGGGGGCTGCGCATGGAGAGCTGTTTTGTATTGGGCAGTTTAGAATCAGGTTTTGTGTTGCTACAAGCTGCATAGTCAAAAGAACTGTGCTGGGTTAGTAGCTGCCAGGGAGGCAAAGAGTTGGGGACTCTAGATCTCTTGATATTGCTTCTAAGCACCAGCCAGTGTCCCAAGCTGGGAGTTGCCCTAAATAAAGATGGCAACAAAGGTGTCCCAAGATGGAGGAAGCTGCTTTCAGTGATGGGGTGTTGGGTTGGGTGGGGCTGGGTGGTGGCATTGGGGCATATTCAGAGATGCAGCCCTGTGTCGTGCAGTATTGTAGCTGGTGGCTGTCTCCAGACCCTGTGCAGTGTCCCCAGGTGCAGGCTACTGCGTGAAGGAGACTATGGCAGTGGTTGCAGTGTTGGAGGTGACCAAGGGACCCCCGTGTAGGTAGATGGGAGTCTACATGGGAGTGGCTGCCAGAGGTTCTGCTCATGGGCAGCATCCTGTGTGGGTCCTGCTCGGGCACCTGGAGGTCCTGTGTGGATGAGTGACCAGGTGTGTGTTGATGCTGAGGCTTGGGAATCTGAAGGGGACAGCAGCCTTGATTTCCTGTGAGGGAGCAGCTGTTGGGGGACCTCTAATAACTCACAAAGAAACAGTATTCCCACTACTTAAATCCATGGTCACAGAGCGACACAGAATGCAGCTTTTTCCCTCTAGCCCGTCATCTTGGATCCTCCTGTTTTGATTATTTGTGTTGTTTTGATTTTTTTTTAGGATTAGCGATGGTGAAGTGATCATGGTGGGAAAGAGTTTGTTTGACATGTATGTACAAATTGAGGACAGAGTTGATCTGCCTCTGTTTCAAGGGCATTGAGATCTCTTAACCCACTTTCAACAGAATCTGCTGCCATTCTTTTTTCAAAGGCCCAGTCTCACTTGAGGTTTCAGCTAGCTGTTTCCTTATAGAAAACTGTCTGGTTCAGTTATATTCTACAGTGGTTGATGTGACTTCATGGACATTCTTAACTTCCTATCAGGAAGCAATCTGACAACACAAAGGATAATCCCAAAGCCATAGGACTTAGGACAATTTCATTGATTTTTGAAACATCATTCCCAAAACATATATTCAGGGTAAAATCTGATAAGGTATAGGCCAAGCATTCACTTTTCCCTCAGAACTACCTCGAGTGGCAATAAAACAAAATGCTTACCCAGAAAGTTCTGCTTTGCCAGTGCCAGGCACTTTCCATTCATATAACAGCTTCACAAAGTCACCAAGAGCTTCTGAGCTAAGTGCATGTGCTACTTCATTGCTTTGAAATTAGTAGCATTCTAGTCTGTGGGGTAGATTTACCAGTAAAGCATCAGAATATATTTGCTTATTTTCCATCGTTCTCCTAGGAATAATCATGTTTGTCATGTACCTTTAAATGTAAAACGTTTGAGTTAATAAAATCAAATTGCATTTCAGCAAGACTTTTTTGTTGTAATTGTCCCTCATTCCATTATTACTTTTAAAACTCCAAACAACATAAATGAAGTTCACTTAAGTTGATCAACTAATTCAAAATAATAAGCTGTTAGGCACTTATAACATGTAATTATGTATTTAGAAGTATTGATATTGGATTTGATTTTATAGAAATGATGTTTTTAGATTTTATTTCTCAGAGGAAAAATGTCCCTTCATGATTTGCTTAAAATTAAGCCTGCAGTTTTGCAAAATCTATACAACATTTTGACCAATAATGGACCACATGTATGATGGTGGTTCCATGAAATAATATTGCCTAGTGATGTTGCAGCCATCTTAGTTGGTGTTAGTACCTGCTACGATGTGCATACAATGATGAAAATTTCTAACCATACATTCCTCCAAAAGTACCCATTTCATTAAGCAGCACATTAGTGTACATCTGATAGAAACTTTCTACTTTAGCAGTGAAAAGATTATAGTGTGTCTTGCCATCACATTGGGTATAGCAGTGTCATCCATTAAATAAGGATTTGTGTGTGTGTTGCTGGGCCAGTCAAGTTTTTTCAGTCCAACCCAGGGCTTCACACATGCTACGCAAGCACTCTATCACTGAGCTACAACCCCAGCAGGTATTAATTTTTTTAATTCTACAGATTTTTCTAAACCCAGATACCTATAAGTTTCAATGAGACTGTCATTTCAGTAAATTATGTACAAGTGGACTTTTTTTTTCCCCCAAAAAGAACAGCCTGGACTCTTTTCCCCAAGAACTCCCTTTCACTGCATGCGTTACTGTTGTCCCTTTTTGGATCATGAGTGTGAATTCTTTCATGGCTCTTGATCATATCCAAGATAACCTGAGCTTGCTTTCTGTTCTTAATAATAATTATATGGAATATAATTATTCCATATTATTCCATGTGGCACCAATCTGGTAAATTGTAGAACAACTGCATGTATTAAATATGGAATATAATTATTATTATTGTTTCTCCTTAGTAGAAAAATGACTGACTAATCCCCCAAAGACTAGCCTCTTCTTCCTCTGATTCACATATTCTTCTGTTGCAGATTGGATTTGAGGCCTCTCCCCTCCAGGGACAGGCTGCAGCTTCAGGGAGTGGGAGTGGAGCTGATTCTGAGCCAGCTCGCCATGTCTTCTCCTTCTCCTGGTTGAACTCCCTGAATGAATGATGTTCATTCCGACTGCTGCCCCTCTGTCTGCCTGAATGAGATGCACACAGGCAGCAGGGAACGTAGATGAAATTAACACGATACAGATGATGAATGGGACCTCTGGACAGGATTTTTAAAAGAAAGGAAAAAAAAAACCACTTTAATTCCGGATGACTTATCTAACACATTGAAGAAAAAAATACTTTCAGAAAATAGATGCAGAAAGCACTGGAGAAAAGAAACTTGATCTTATGCAAGTCTTTTATTGTGTGGGAAACATGAGGGGTGTGTAGGTGTGGTACATGTGGGTGCGTCAGTTACAAGTAGCAAGTGTTGAAAAATGTGGGCACTACACTCTCGTCTCTAATAGGCACCAGCTTTTTGTTATTAGATCATAGTGGCTCTTATTTCCTTTTCTCTTTAACAATGCAGGTGGTCAGTGAAATTCAGTGTCAATTCAGAAATGCCTGATTTATCAATATACAGACAAATGGTAAATCATTGACCAAAGCTATGAAAATGTTGTGCAAAGTTTTCCTCTTTTCCATAATAAATGTCACTGGATGTGTATCCAGAAATGTTCTTTGAATTTGATGGCACTTTTATAGTCCAGAAGGCTGAAGGCCAAGGACATCTCTTGTGACATTTTTCTAATCTTAGTTTTAGACACTTATATACTAGGTACTTTAATTGAAAAAGACTTTCTAGCAGAAACCAGTTTCTCATACATCTCTGTGGCACCAATCTGGTAAATTGTAGAACAACTGCATGTATAAATATATATGTGTGTGTCTGTGTATATACATATATATCATGCTTTATTTGTCCCACCATAATACTTCTTTCAGAACATAAGTGTAACTTTACTCTGTATGAACTGTTAAATAAATACTGTTTTTAAAAATTTAGTCTTATAATGATTTATTCAGAATTTCATATCATCTTATTAATTTATTAGTCAAGTGCATTTCAAGGGCCTTAGGGGGAAAAAGCATTTTCATACATATTTTGAAGTATTTAATAATTTGATTGAAAATGTTAAGTTATAACTAAACTACTGAAGGCAAATGCATTTTAAAACTAGTTAGCTATGCTGTTGAGTTTTAGAAGTGAGTAAAGATAGTTCATATTCCTAAGAATCAAAGTGATTAGCTTGGAGAGTTTTGTGCATAATTAAAGCCAAATGTTCTTTGTAAGAAAATATTTCCCCAAGTGTCATTTTACAGCAACTGAGCATAGTTGTTTTAAATGGAGATACTTTCAGGTTTCTCCTATTCAAAGTAGTCATTGGAAAATAGCTCAGAAAAAAAAAAAAACATTTTATGGTACCAATTGATAAAGTAAGCCTTTGTCATGGAAAAACAATGCAGCATTTTGACTGTATGGTTCACCTCAGCTCTTCTCTTTATCCTTTCCTACTCTCCCCAATTACTTCATATCTCATTATTCATCAAGGAATGCTTTTTCCACTGTGAGTGATCCTCCATTTGTAAAATAACCAAGTTTTAGAGCTAAAAGCAGTTTTCCAAATTATCTAGTTCAATCTCAGATGAGTCGTCTGAGGTACAGAGATAAGGTGATTGTAGGACCTGTGCAGCCACTGACAGATATTTGTATCTTTGGTAGAAAAAAAAAATGCAGGAAGTTTGGGGGATTTTTGACTGTTTGTTTATTGTGCAGAAGACAGTTTGGAGGAAGCTAGAAGAGGAAAAATAAAAGCACAATAACCATTGCAGCTTTTATTAAAAATATAAATATTAAACATTCTCTTACACAATCAATTGACCGAGGATTGGAAGGATGTTTTATTATTGAGATGTTTACAAGAAAATATTGATTCACATTTCACCTTACCCACCCACTCAAGAGAACAAAATTCTCTTTGGCTCTGACCACTACAAAAGCAACTGGGTGGCTTCCATCTGCTTTTTCAAAGTGCTTCCTCCTGGGTCTACATTTTCTTTGAAACACTACTATAAAGACACTGGACACGGAAACTAAAAGTGGACAATACAAATAACATTGCGTTGTTACTGCACGTGAATACACTTTGTGCATGCTAATTAAGGGATATAGGCTCCGTCCCTGTACATCTATGTTGCAAGCTATATAAAAATAAACAAATGATATCAGAGCAGCACTGTGGTACAGAATACTGTATTCTTAATTTTTTTTAACTTTTTTTGTGCTAAATGCAGAATATTTTTGGTCAGACGCATCATTTCATTTCCCAATAATCTCCATCAGTTTCCTGTTGCTGTGAGCTTGCTGCGCTAACTGCTCGGCCCTGGCCATTTCCAAGACTTCCCGGAGAAGGTGAAAGGTGAGATCCAGGGAGATAGGAGGCTCCTCGGACCGCCGCTCCCTCTCCAGTGCCTCCTGGTGGCGGGTGAGGGCGTTCTCCCAGCTGCGCTCCGCCGGACCCGCGGGGCTGTCAAGAGAGCGCCGAGGCAGCTGCAGCTGCTGCAGCAACACGCGGAAAAAGTTGGTGGCTGCCTGGTCCCGCAAGGGGCGGCTGCCACTGTCACCGGCAAGGGACAAGGAGTCGGGCAAGAGCCGAGCAGCTGGGCTCTTGTTGAGGTTCCCCAGGCGAAGGAAGTATTCCTCTCCCATGCGGAGCAGAACGGGCCGAGGCTGCGGCTGCTGGGGCTGCTCGGGCTGCGGCGGGGGCTGGAAGAAATCCAGGGACTGGGGGGATTGCGCTGCTTGCCGGGTTCCCGGGACCTGCCCACGATTTAGGAGGGCCCTGCATGGTGGGCAGGGCAGGAGAGCCACCAGCAGGACGCCCGCAGACAAGAGCAGCGGCAGCCGCATGTTAGGGACGCTCGCTGCAGAAGAGAAGTGGGCGGAAGGAGAGAAAGAAAGAGAGATAAAGTGTTGGTCAGAATTTAGCTCAACTGAGGGGTGCACTTGGGGGGATGTCTTCCTACCCGACACGCGGAGAAGTGAGAGGCTATGCCCTTGGGGTGGGGGTGGGGGTCGTCGTGCGCTGTCCGTGGTGCTTAAGACACTGATCTCGGACTTCTGCAGTAGGGGTGATAGCGGGAGCACGAAATGGGACGTTTGAGAGGCTCCGCACCCAAACTCATCCCCTCTCCAGGAAGGAGTGACCTTGCTCTTGAGACCCTGAAGAAACAATCCCCGAGTCTTCTTCCTAAGGATCCCCAAAACCTGATTCCCCTGAGCCTAGGTAAAGAGCCATAATTTAAGTTTTCGCCCGCTCTGATCACCCCCTTCCGGATATTTCAGCATTTTCTTCCAAATTAAGAGCTACTCCCTCTTCCTGTCTCTCCATACCTGCCCTTCCTTCCCTTTCTTGGGGGTCGGGACGGATGTGGGGCCAGTGGGGTCCTTTATACAGACAGCGTTGAGGAGTAACCGGCAGTTAGGGTAAAGATGAGCAGCCGTCTAAGTTTGTTTTTGCTATACACAGCTACTAGGAATCTTAAGGCACAGTCAGCAGCAGCAGCAGCAACAACAACAACAACAGCAACACACACACACACACACACACACACACACACACACACACACATTCGCCCGCACAGGGACAGCTGGCTCTGCAGGGCACACCGCGGCAGCTCAGGCAGCGCAAAGTTGGCGGCGCGTTTCCGTCTAGGCGCTCCCTACCTTTCCTGGAGTTCGCAGGTGAGCCCGGCGCTGCTGCCTCTCTGCAGAGGGACGTCTCAGGGCTTTTTCTGGCGGTTTTCTTCTCTTCTCCTTTCTATTGCTACTTTCTTTTTTTCTTTGTCTCTTCTCTTTCTCTTCAATGTACTTGGGCTCCGAGTTTTCTCCACACAAGAGCTTGGAGTGGGATTTTATAGCGTCGACCCTCTTCAGAAAGCACGCAGCATTTGCCTAATAAGCTGACGCTCTCTTGACAGCTCGATTGCGTGCTGCCTCTGCTCCTGCATAAATCATAGGGCCCTGCCAAGGAGCGAGGGACAGAGTTTTGCTATTTCAACACTGAATCTCACATCCAATTATATCAACAGATATTTATCGCCTCCTTGGTGACGTCAATGAGCCCTAAAATGGAAGGGATTCTTATGACTTGTCCATTGACAAAAATTCTTGAATGAAATTTCCCAAGTGTGGAAAACAAACTGACCTCTTACTATGGAAGGCCAAATTGTAGGTCAGAAAAGCTACCAAGATTGGGAAGGGGGGGAAAGAGGAAGTGGGAAGGAAGGGAGGTCTACCAATGCAGTCCTGCCAGGAAAGTAACTGCCAGTTACAAGGGGTGGCTCTCTATCTTTCTGGTCCTTCTCTCTCCTAACTTCTATGACCAATTGTCTCAGGCAACATCTTGGTATCTGAAAATGTCTCTTTGCTAGAGACAAAGAGTCCCACCTTCTTTCTACCTGGAGAAGAATGAAGAACCAGGAGAAGACTGAAGGAACATTCAGATTTTAAGTTTCTATCTGCTTTTTCCTCCCAAGAGCAGATAAAGGAACTATGAGTCTGCAGAGACAAGACCAGTAAGTCTTTTGAAATACAGTTTTAAGATTTTTTTTTTTTAAATGATGAGAAGAGCTACTCCAATGATGAAGGGGCTGCTGGGTTACAGCAAAGATTTTGGGTTCTCACAGAATCTCACTGCTCCTCCTTTGTTTCCCCTTTCACAGTCTAAAATTAACTATGGACTTTTCTCTTCTCAAATTAAAGCAAAAGAGGACCAGTGAGAGGTGCATGAGTTAAACAATATTTTTTTTAGTCTACTCAATGCAAACCTAATGAGAAAGGCATCCACTAACTTCCTACCCTGTGTTGGAAAAAGCTTTAATTGCTAAACAACAAAGCTAAAAATCAGTTGCATTTTTTTTCATTGATGAATACTGACTCTGTACAGAGATAATCTTATTCATTTCACCTCCAAATACTACCAGTATTCATTATAGTATACATATCAGGGATACCTAGGTTGTTATTTTTTATCATTCCTTTTTTTTTCCAAATTCAACTGTGCTCCTGTGAACCTCACAGATAAATGCTTTCTGACACTACTACAGAATGAAATGCTGTGCCTATAAAACCACACTCAAATTTTGAGTTATATGCTATCATATAAGTGGGAGGCAGTTACCTCTAATTCTGCAATTCAAAATGCAATTGCAAACACTAGTGGCTGTGATTCAATTCAGCTTTCAGAAAACCACCAGAGTTGTTTATCAAAAATTTCCTGTTCCTCATTTCTGGTTACCTCTGCCGCTTCCTTAGTAGCTAATGTGACAAATGATGCAACACATTTTCAGCTCCTATTTTGGGCCTATACTAATCCACAAATGCTCTGAGAAACAAAAGAAAAGTAGGGAGAGAAATACCTACAGTTTCCTGAAAACTAGCTCGTAGCTGGATTATTGTACTAAAGAATGTACTTCTGACATAAAAGATCTGAGAAAGAAATGTGTCTACTAGGAAAGATGTGGGTTGCTAATAAGGGATCATGATTAGGAAAACAGTTGAGCTTCTGGAGGAAGACAGTGTTTCATACAGAACCTTAGTTTTTGTAATTGTGTGCGTTTTAAAAGTAGAAGTGGAACTCAATATTTTTGCTATGTTCCTTTGTGGTCTCTTCTCTGTCCCCATTGACAGACTGCAGCTTGGATGTCCATGGTGGGGGTGGGGGGGGGGTGTGAAAAGTAGACTTTGAAGGGGGAAGTTGGAGGTAAACATATATAGAAGAGGAACTAAGTAAGGGATCAGAACACGAGTTTTGTTGGGGAAGTCTGGCACATTCCTCCAAAGAAGACACAAAAAGTTCTGAGCTCTGGCTCTCTTTATATCCCTTTAGCTCTCTCTCCAATTGAGTAATACCATTTTAGTGTAGCTCCCTTGTCACTGTTGAGTCCTTGCTGTATGGTTTTCTGTGAAGATAAATTGGGAAGCACCACAATTTATTC